GTACCGTAATAATCATTATTCCTTTTTTTCTGAATTGATGCCATTTTGTAACCCCGAAACACAATAAGGCAGATCTTAATTAACGAATTTAACAACGATGCTAACTCAAATCTATATTTTTTACTTTGGTTGGAAAAATTTGCAAAATTATTGCGAATCGTCGAGTAAGAAAAAAAGATTTGTTAAAAAACGAAACGTTATCGATCATTTATGAACATCCGTTATTTATTCTATAATTCTAATCCCATGGATTGGTCGATTAGCAAACATATACTCCTAAGTACGATCGCGTTTTAACACGTAAAGAAAAAGAGATAAGGAATTGAGCGTTAACTTCGTGCGATGACTATGGTTCAAGGTCGGACGTTGCACTTTTGTGGTTCCGATGCAACAAAGAGAAAGAAACGGCGGAACAGACTACGTTAACTGGCTTCATGCTACTAGCTGTTTGTCCTCACAGATTCTATCTACTTTTAATTTCTTAAGAATCATTGCTTACCAAACTGAAACATCGTGATTTTCTTTTTTAAATCTTCGAGATAAACAAAACGAAATGTATATCAAGGAATTCTTACAAATTCTAAATCATACGAATGTTTTTTAACCCTTTGGATACATTTGATGAGTGAGACTCGTCATCTGAATTTAAGAAGCTTATATAAATATATAAAATATATCAATTTTTATATTTTGTTTCATTTATATATTTATTTACATTTTGTAATTGAAATGTTGTTGCAAAAATATATTTATATTATCAATATAAATATATTAATAATTATATTAATAGTAATAGATATTTTTACTACTATTTGTAAACACAATAATTGATGATTCAGAAGTAGAATACTCGTCAGCCGTCAGCAAACTTTCCTGATTCGGTTTCTGGTCGACGCTAAATTCTTTTTTTATAATTTATTGTTTAAAAAAAAAATGACCTTTGCAAAAATAGTTATTATAATAATTATATTCGTTCAAAAGATGCGATAATAATAGATAAAAATAAAAGAGGAAAAACAACGTAACAGAAAATTATACATTTATATTTTTAGCACATATTCACAAAGCCATATGTTACACTTTCACCATTATTATGTTTTCTTTACCATATGTTACATATTCTATAACGTCAAAGAAATAATTTGTTTCGTATGATAGAATCGTATACAATACCTAAGTGAAAACATATTATTTGGAAGAAAAAAAAAATAGTGAATGCAACTCTTTAGAATACTATGTAACTTTAAAATCATACATTCAAGTTTATAGAGGAGTTTACTGGACAAACTTCATGAATATTTTACATGGAAAAGGGACAATTTTTTCACATCTAGAATGGACAAATGAAGCAATTTTTACAAAATGGGACATATTTAATTTTGATGGTAGTAATGTATGAATCCTCAATCATTCACATTTCATCCGATAACGAAACTTTCAACTTAAATTTCAGTGTGATGTTTGAATTTATATGTCTGATGACCTGCTCATTAAAAAATCACAAATATTTGGACACTATAGTATGACCAAATTTAGGTCAGCCATGTGATCCATTAAATTGGCGTAGAAATTAGTTTCAACATGTACACGTGGTAAAGAACGTCATAAAAATGTTTTCAATTATCGTCAAATTTATTTGATCAAAGACTAGCTTTCTAATGATCCTGTCGAGATAAATCAAAGTTTAATTATGGCACAATTATAATTTTATAAAAAAAAAAAAAAACTTGATAAAGATTTATATTAAAATTCATTAAAATTTTCTCTACGATGTGGTTGGTGGAGATGTAAGAATTAAATAAAAAGTACGTGCTTTGAAATTGTTTCTTTTGCTTCTCTTCTTCTCTCCACTAAACCCCATCCTTTTTCTTCTCTCATAATTTCTTCAACTTGCCGTTATCACTTTCTATCTTTGTCAGGAACTTTTACTTCCGCTTGTACGGAATACATATTAATCACTCTCGAGAATTCTAATGCAGTGTTCTCTTTTCGTAGGATATTTGTTCTATCGGAAGATGATTCACTTTCCTTTTTAATTATTGATTTAACTATTTCGTGGTAATTCTAAGTTATTAGATCTAGCTGAAAGTTCCTTTTTTTTTTTACTTTTTAAATAAAAAACTTTAATAATTTTGATTTGAACTATATGTGATTTCAATATTTAATTGATAATATTGATAATGTTTCATTATTATTAACAACATCCATTTTCGATCATATTTTTTCTATTTTTTTTTTTTTTTTTAAGAAAAATAAAACAAAAATAATAATTAGTCCTTAAGAGCAAGTTTTAGGCTGAAGTGTAAAAGATTAATTTATTATCAGATATAAATTAATTTAATTAAATTAATGAATAAATTTAAAAACTACATTTATAAATATGAAAAAATATAATTATGATAATATTGCAATTATTATACGAATAAAAATAAGAAAATAAGATTCTACAGTCGTATTAATCTTACTGTTCTTACAGAATCAGAAAAATTGGTATTGCATGGTATTAAGTTTTCACATGTGAGTCATAAAGCCCCTGTTGGTATCTCTGGATCAGACCATTTCGGGAAAAGAAGTATGACATCAAAAGAACCACGGCCAGCGTATATAATATTATGCGAGTTGAAAAACGACGTAGCAACTTGGCAAAGTCGTTACGGTCTAACCTGCACATATATGTATATATATATACATATTTATATAAACATGTCGCTTGCTTTTAATTACCAACGTCATGAACGCTTTCCATGTGTTTCGTTGAAAGCCAGTATAACGACGTCACACCAGCACTTTATCAACTTTAATATCAATGTATGTGTAAATTCTTCCCAACATGCAATTTCTACATAAAAATTTTCATTTGAGATAATGTTAGATTCTAAGTAAATATCTTGAAATACAAGTTAATAAATAAAATAAATTTATTCGTTATTACATGGTAGCGTAGTCACTGAGAAAAACAAAAAGAAAAAGAAAGTAATTAAAAAAAAAAAAAAAAGGATAGAAAGTTGAGAGAGAAAAATCTTTATTCATTTTCTATAAAATAATATTTTAGAGATATCTTTATATATATATATCCATAATAAAAATAAAACGTCACTTGATTAATACAACGATTATTCATCAACGTTAGTTTTGATGCTTATCTCTTATTATTTGTTGAATCAGAAATATAAGAAAATTAAGGAAAAAAAAAATGAGAGAAAGAGAGAGGCTAGGAACAACATTACTTTTCTATTCTATTCGAATGAAGTCACCTAGCTACATTTAAACCTAACATGACTATGAACAACTATTATATATACACGTAAATGCACTTTCGTCCTTGGCACGAGAACGTTTATGTGCATTTTCTGAGAAGTACATGGGTCAGATAGCGATATCTAGCAACCTACCTGCCTACCCACCCATTATCTTACCCTGTGGCGCAATTACGCAGAGAGAAAGGGTCACTAACCTTCATTTCAAGGGACACACAGCTTCTACTCAAGTTACTTTCGCCCGTTCACTATTCTTTGACTCATCTCATTGTATTCTTTCTTTACGTTATAATATTTCATTTTTTTCTAAATTAATTACAATTTTATTATCTTAAATTATCTAAAATGTAAACAATGGTATTAGTATTGGTTAAGAAACAAATAGTTTGAAAGAACAACTGAATATTAAATTTTATAATTTTTTAAATTAAACGAAAATCTTGAAGATAATAAGAAATTTCGATAGTCATATAACACGATTAAAAAGAATATAGCGATCAAGCTCATGGTGCTCAACGCCATAGAAATGAGATCGATGACGTCAATAAGCCAATTAGAAATTAATTTCTATTATTGATAGATAGACGTGCGTGACTGCAAGATGCAGCAGCGTTACCACGCTATTAGTGACGTTCGTAGTCCTATTTTACAATCAATCAACGAACTAACGCTTAAACATCAATCAAATTGCATTCTCTTCTTTTACCGTGTCAAGCCAATTAATGTTTTCTTTTCGCTCTACCATTTTTCTGAATAACTAATTAAAACCCCAATAATTTCACATTCATTCAACTCTAGTCTTCTTTTCACTCTGCCATTTTTTTGAATATTAAAAAAAAAATCGTTAAAACAAAGCTTATCGTTAAACTTTTGAAAATAGTAATCTTTTAAGCTAATACAACATTAATAAATAAATTGTTAAAAACAAATAAATCTAATGGTAAGTAAAAGAATAAAATAAAATCAACGATCTTCGATTAATCCTAAATAATTCAACCCTTTTCTCAGAAATTGTAATAAAAATAAGAGAACGTATATTTTCTTTAGTAAGAAAGCTCTCTCTCTTTTAAGTAAAATGAATGAAGATTAGAACGATAATTCATGGATTTGGGAATGAGATTGTTCAATATACGTAACGCCTCAGTGTTAATGATCATCCAAGTTAATTAAATTTACGACTCGATATTGAAGGGCTTAATACTGCGATACGTAATAAGGTGCTTCGGAGAAACCACCACTTTCGGAAGCTTCTCATTAGCCTAGACGTATTTAGTAGCATGAACAAGCAAACGACCAACTTACTTACTAGCTAGCTTGCTAGCCGACGAAGTTTCGATGGAAGAGATATCGTAGTTTAAAGATATAGAGAGGTTCCTCTAAATTTCTCAGCTTACACATAGAATTTAAACGAATACCAATGTGCCCCTGTAAACGCGCGCACATGCATACACACACCAGTGCCTTTCGTTCTTACAAGGAACGAACAACCGGGCCGCAGCATCGACCCATAAGCTCGACCTCAACCACTCCATCTTCCTTACTGACTACCACTGTCCTTCTTTATTAAGACTTCGATTTTTCCATATTTCCAATTCTCTCCATTCAGACGGTTCATTTCCAATTCGGTCTTATAATTAATTAATGAAACTGAACGTTTTATTCGAAGAGATTCGTTGATCGACAAAAAATAATCATCTCTGTGTGCTAAAATAATGATTCAAAGAGATATTAAAAATAACTCACCTTCTGATGACTTTTTAATGGTAGTAAATCCAGCTGTTGGTCGGCGCCATCCTCGCCAATTGTTACAAAGTGATTCGGGCTCACTGCTCCAACTACAAATGGAATCTCCTTCGAAATGATCGGAATCTTCGAAGGAGAAACGATCAACATCCTCCCAGTCCAAAATTCGTCCGCTAGATGCAGCTTGATCGACTGCTCCAGCAGTTCCTGACGGAGTAGTCGTGGTAGTATTAGCCGTCTCTGATTGACCCGTAGGATTTCCCGCGGGAACATTAGTCGTTGATGGACCCGTTGAATGTCCCGTGGATGGAGCCGAGGAAGCATTTCCAATTGCCATAGTTCCTCCGCTGTTGGCATTACCTCCGCTCGCTTGACTCGCATTTGCCTGAATTCCATTTCCGGAAGTGTTTTCTGCTGTTGATCCTTCTCCAGGGATGATATTTCCAGTTCCGGTTCCACCTCGTCCAATGAAACCTCCGCCGGCTCCACCCCCAGAACCTCCGCCACTTCCTCCTTCCTCTTCTGCTCTTTCAGCACTTCTTCCACTACTACCACTACTACTACCACCACCAACACCACCTCCCCCAGCACCCACCGGCACCGGAGATCGAGCCAGATTGCCCGCCAGTTTTAATTCTGGTACGAATCGACACACGCGATACTACGAGCGCGCTTCCGATATGAACCCTTAAAACAATCACCACAGTCGTCACCACCAACACCACCTCCTCCACTGTCCCACGTCTTTCTCCTTTTCCTTTTGTTCTTTTTCTTCACCTTTTTTTCCTCGGTCTCCAACACTGAAACTCCAACCACCGCCGCCTCCTCCTCCTCTTCCTCGTCTTCGTCCACCTTCTCCGCCAGCCTCTTCCAACTTTTTCCGCCACCGGCGACGCTCCTTTTCACATCCACAATTCTCCAGTCTTCACAAACCACTAAATTGGCTTTTCTTAATAATCTCCTCTCCGTCGCAACGTTTAACACTTCTTACCAACAAGCGTTCGCCGTGTTTCTTCTTCTTCTTTTTCTTCCAAACTCAGTTCCTTTCCAACTGTTCCTTTCTCTCTCACTCTCTCTCGTTCTGTTTTATCAAAAGACACAAACACATAAATATACTTATACTCTTTTACAGAATAAGAAAATATGTTTTTCAAACTGTTATTGTTGTTGATATTCATTCAACAGTAGAAAGGACAATTCTTACTAATGGACAATATTTGTTCACTTCGTTCGTTAAATTAAAACTTTTAATAACATGTAATAACATTATTCATATAATAACAGTTTGAAAAATAATGTTCTACGGATCAACTACTGGTCCAACCGCTCAATTTTTTATCAGGAATCCTATAATATACAGACTACCAGTCAAAATTATTTGATTTCTTTACAAAATGATCTGAAATTAGATTAAATGAATGACTTATTCAATTTTTCTTACAATTAATAAATATTTGTAAAGGAAATGAATAGTCTGTTTCCAAAAATTAATAATTACGTTTAATCTGAATGTTTTGAACATCACCATAAACTTCATTTATGTATAACGCATTTTTAATATATTGATTACATATTTTTTTGATCGCGTTTATAATTCAGTTTGTATTTCTTAAAAGAATTTAATTCCATAACATTGCAGAAGCTGTTATTTAGGATGTCTATAATGCAATACTAAAACAAGAGATAACAATTTCGATAAAGCCTAAATTGAAATATTTTTTAAGCATTGTGTTAGTTTTTTCTAATTAAATTTTAAAAATAAAGTATTTTTATAATTTTGTCACGAAAATAAGAAAATGGTAATTTATTATTTTTCTTTATTTATTTTAAGAATTTTTGGAATTTTTCTACATGGTAAAATAATTTTGACCGATAGTGTATAGAAATAAAGATGTTGCCTTTGAATTGTATTTTTAAATCTGCACAAAAACTTTTCAGGCAACCCAATATATATGTACATATGTATGTATGTATGTATGTATGTATTTATTCATGCATGCACATATAGTATTGTAGAATACGTACGAGTACGACCGCGTGCAAATTTTAATTAGATTTAAGTTGAAGACCCGATGTAAGTAATTAATTACGTAATGGTTACAAATTTTCTGGATATACATATCATTGCTGAATGATTTGATCTGTTTTACCATTTACCATAAATTTACATATTCTTCTAATGAATGAAAGCAATAAAATTTACCAATTTTCGAAAAATTACATGTAAATTCGATATACAGTAGGAACCCATATAACACGAGTACAAATTACACTACAAATAGCTATTCCATATAAAACAATGAAATTGTTCAAAAATAATAATCATTTGTGACATGAACAAAAATCCTTTTTTGCTTTTTTGACCTTTGAATTCCCCACTAACACAAGATTCATAGAATGCGGAATGTATATTTGGGGTTATACAGGAATCCTAATGTACATGCACAAAAAAAAAACGAAATGAGATTTTGTAAAATAAGGCAATGAGAAGAAAAAGTAAAAAGGGGGAGAGAAAAGTGCGAGCACGTGCATTTTTAGGAAGTAAGCATTCATATACACATTCGTAAACAGGTTGAGCGAAAGGAAGAATAGCTCGGTAGTTCAAAGCAGGTTGAAAAACTCTTGAAAAGCAAGGTTCGAGTTCTAATACTGGTCCAGCAGAATATTATTCTACTAGAAAATATGTTTGCCTGATATCGATTAGGGTGTTTTCCTTCCTTGTAAAATATTGCAACCTGATGGTATTACTTTTATAAATTTTTGCAAAACTTCTTTTAATATCAATAGTGTATAGTATACATGAGAAATAACAAATAAAGAAATATTTTAACGTTTTATTCTGAATTTTTACAATAAAATTTGTGAAAAAATTTTATTTATATCTTTTAAAACATCACCTGTGGATAATATTCTATAAATTTATTTTTATTATAATTTTTATTAATATTATTCTTAATTAAATATTTGTCAAGAATTTTTTTAGAATTATTAATTAGAAAATATGAACTTAGTTGAGAGTTTTTGAAAAATATTATGTTGATAACTTCGAAGAATTGATATCAATATAGATCAAATATCGAAGTGAAAGTATCGATTTTTATTACAATTTTATTTTTTCGGTTATAGAGATTTATAATACAAACCTAATAGAGTTTTTAATACGTTAATAATAACTTCGAAAAAATGAATAGTTAATAATAGTCTAGAAATTGAGTTTGAAGTATCGATTTTTTCTACCATTTTATGTTTTAGGTCTTATAGCTACTGTAATACAAATTTATTCGAGTTTCTAAATAATATAATATCACAACTTCAAAGAATTGATATCGTTAAAGAAAAAATTTTTAAGTTAAAATAATTTTTCTAACGATTTTATTGTTATAGATTATGATAACTCTTGAAACGAAATTCAAGTTTTCAGATAAAATAACGTCAACAATTTTGAAAAATGTCTACCGATATAATACGAATTTACGATCGCGAATATAAAAGTGAAAGCGTCGATTTCTACTATTTTATGTCTATAGGTTATACATAGTGAATTATTTAAATATTTTTGTAAAAAGATATTGTAGACAATTAATTTTATACGTTAGTAACTTGTAATACGAATTTAACCTAGTATTTAAATAAAACAATATAAACAATTTCGAGAACTGAATATTGATGTACAATTAAATTACGATCACGAATATTGAAGGGAAAATATTGACTTTTTTTTCTATTCTTTAAAATAAAATGGTTGGTAGTATAAATAAACTCAAGTTTTTAAAAATATCGTTAGCAATCTCGAAAAATGAATATTTATATCGAAATGGAAATATTTCTTTTATTTTTCCAACAATTTTGTTTCCAATTTAAAAATGACTGATGATATGAAATAATTTAAAAACTGAAATAATATATCGTCAACAGATTCAAAGAATGGTAATCGATATAGGCAAAATATCGAAGTGAAAGTATCGATTCATTCAACAATTTAGTTTGCAGCCTTTAACCGAGTTGCAGATATAAATTTAGTCGAGTATTAAAATAATATGACGTCAACAACTTCGAAGAATGGATATTTATAAATCTCGAATACTGAAGTTAAAATATCGATTCTTTCAATAATTTTCTTTACGAATATCAAGCGCTTTATAATACGACAAATTATTCAAGTATTCAAATAATATAACCTCAACAACTACAAAGAGTTATCTCGATATATCCCAAATATATCGAAGTGAAAGTATCGATTTTTTAAACGATGTTGTGTTACAGGTTAGAACGATTTAAGGAAATAAATAAATAAATAAAACAAATTTTACCTACGATAAAATCCTCCTAACTTGGTTCCCAGATAAAATACTAAATATACGAAGACACGACGTAGAGGTTAACCTTCTCGAAAGTTCGAAAAAGAAAAAGCAAAATGCAAGAAAACGTTTTTAAAACGAAAGATTAGTTTTGACAGATCGAATCGTAAGCGCGGCAGAAGTTCGAGCTCACGTGCAATATAAAATGGCAGGCAAGCTTGTTCTCTGTAAATACGCGTATCGACTTTTTCCTGTCTTTCCCTCTCCCTCTTTCCCTCACGTTCTTTCTCATTCTCTCTTTCTCTATTCGTTGCCGCGCGCGTTTTCTCGTTCTGTTTCACTCCCTCTTCTTTCTCTTTGTTTTCGATATTCCCAGAGTCCCGTAAGAAACAAAAATTTTAATTTCTTCCTTCGAAAAAGAGACACGAGGAAATCTCGATTTAGATCCTTGCGATCGATTTCAAATGTAACATGATATTAAACGTTATTCATTGTATAAATAAATAAATCAATTTAATCTACGAACAACAAATATTATGCGTATGTTGATTGAAAAAAAAGAAAAAAGAAAATTTTTAAAATAAGCTGTCTACAAAAATAAAAGGAAAATAAAGAATAGATTTAAGTAAACACCGTTGTTTTGCTTGCTATTTATTGATTTATTTAGTTTTTCTTTTCTTAGGAAAGAAAACGAAATGAAGGGACAGAGGAAAGGAAAATAAAAATATCTTAGCGAAGCGAGTCCCCGAAGTCCGAAGAAACGGAACACAAAGACCTTGGCGGGTCGACAGACCCGCGTCAAGAACGTGCGACGACCCCGACCCCGTGCAGGAGAGCAACCCCTCTCTCTTTCACTCACTTACTTTTCTTATCCTTCTTACAGTATCACGAATGCGCACACAACACAACTAAACGAGATATACACAATAAGCGTTTCTACACATTCGATTTATCATCATCTATCTTTTCTCGTACATATTGTCTAAACATTTTTTATTCATGTTTCTCATTCCCTCCCTGTTAATATATGTACATACCAACCCTTAACCTATCTTCGGTGACATCCAAAATAGCCCTGACAATGATTGGTAATAATATTTTTCCTATTTCTTAAACCTTCCTACTTCTCTGTACATAATCGTCATCATGCTGCTACCAATGGCTACTACTATATTATATTATACTATGCTATACTATACTATACTAATCTTTCTGCTGCATTTATCTTGCCACCACCACTACTCTACTACTACTACTATCACCAATGACAAGTGCAGCAACAGCAGCGAGAGTAGAAGCGGTTTTCACCTTCTTCACTACCTTCAGACCACTTTTAACCATTAGTTTTAGTATAACTGCATTACCTTTTTAATATTATCACTACTACCATCACCACCACTATCGACAATGTCAACGATAACAACAATAAAAACGCACTGGTAATTCCAGCTCCACTGTAAGAATGCAAGCGGCATAAAATCAGGTACACAGTGCTATACATACATGCATGCATACATAGATGCAAACATAATGCACACATACATACATACACATATATATATATATAATATGTGTATGTATATATATATATATTGATAGAAAGAGAGAGAGAGAGAGAGAGAGAGAGAGAGAGAGAGAGAGAGAGATAGAGATAGATTGGCATGCATACATATACAGAATAACGCGCACTCGACACTACTGAACAAGACAGCTGAGCCTCCGTGGACCTAGCAGTTTTATATAAGAGACCGTTTCTCTTATACCGTGAATACAGGATTATTTGTTTGCAAGTTAACTCAACGGCCGAATATCTTAGCCCGATAGAAGTCTTTCTAATCTTACGAACATCCAAACATTACGCACCGCACACCGCACCTCCGTAACTCCGCCAGCTAGCCTACCCCATCGACGATAATAACAAATATGGCGAGCAGAACTACCTTTTACATATCGCTTCGCTCCTACTACTCTGTAATCTCTCATCAGATGGCACCACTTGCGCAACCTTTCCTTACTCCTTTCCTTTCCAACACTTTTTAAAACCGTTCTTCGGATAATGTGTTACTGCACGAGTTCGTTCGTATCTGAACTCTTCGGACGAACTCGGATTGGCTCGTGACACTATTCGTGTTCGCAATGCAACAGTTATGGGTCACGTGACCCGTTCCGACTATACGCGTTTCATTGGACGATAACGTACAGCACTGTGTTCACGACGAGAAAGAACCAATAAGGGATTGGCTATTGTACACGGAATTGGAATTTACATTGGAATTTAGTACTATTGTCATATTAAACCTTAAACCGGTTTGGAGAAAATGAATGCACAGTAATTGTTATTCAAGATAAGTAAAGTATTTTTATTAATAAATATTAAAATTAATTAAGTAAATAGAATAAGAAAAATGATTGTGTATTTTGTAAAGGTTAGAAAAGTGTATAGATTTAAGAAAATCAAAGTTTTGCTTTGTATTCATGATACACTTATGAATTACATGTACATACAGATGAAGGAAAAGAAATGAATAGTAGAAAGACTTTTTTAACTACCCATAGATTTGTAATTATTTAGTTTATTTAATTGTACCATGTCATTGTGATAACCGATTCATCAGCACTATTTTGCCTTGTCAAATGGAACACTGCTAAGTGATAAACACAGTTCCTTGAAGACACATCAATTAAAACTTATGCTGATAATGAAACTCGTTTAATGTGATTGAGATAGCCTCTTTCTTTGAGTAAATCGTCCAATGCTTCTTGAGCATAATAAACTACAAAATTAGTAGGCGCGATGCCCTCAAACACAGCATAAACAGAAGGCTTTAGATTGTAGAAGAAAAGTGGTTGGCCTCTAATTTCGAAATCTTTAGTTAGACTTTCTACGACTGTAGCAGCTGTATAGTCTGCTCCATAAATATGCGAACAATCTATCACAACTGGTGTTTCTACGTTTTCCGTTCTACGACTATATTTAGTCACCAAGTTTCGCACATAATCCACCGAAGGGAAGATTAAACAACGATCCGGCGTCAACATCAGGTATTCGATTCCACAATGCGTCTGAAATGAAGAATATATGTATAAATACTTGTACACATTTTTGTGTATAATATATATTTAGATACATATGACAAAAATCTATAAAGTTATTTATAAAAGCATATAATATAAACTTGAATGTTTCGACAGTCTTATCATCTAATTAAATTATTAATTTATAATAGTTTAATGTATTATCACGGTAAATAAAAATTAATATATATTTCATACAATATACAAAAGATATATTTACAGTTAATTTCTCGACAGATATTTTTGGTCTGGCTGCGTGGTACAGGATGAATACTACGTTTATACCAATTCCGCAAAGAATTCCAATTTCAAGTTGCAGTACCAGACAGGCAATGAAAGTTCCTATTCCTGGGATTAGATCAGACTCTGAAAAAGATATAGTTATTAAAAACTTTGTCTATATTTACTGACTATGTTTGCTATTTCTGTTTGCTAATAACTTGATTCTTACTTTTGGTTCTCCACATCGGTTTAATGACTTTCACTTCAACCATGAACACAACAGCAGATATGATGATCGCTGCTAAGGTAGCTCTTGGTATAAAACTGAAGTAGGGGGTAAAGAAAAATAGAGCCAACATAACTAATATTCCTATAAAAGAAAAAACATGTGTTAAAATTTTCTATATGCAAAGTTTTATCATTAGATATGAATCGTAAGAGTGATTTAGGATAAGTTCACATTGGGCGCTCAGCGTTGCGTTGAGCGCGCTTTGGTTGTGGTACATACACCGCGCTTAGCACGGCGTTTGACGTGCGTTAGTAAAGCGAGTATACGTGGCTTATTGTTTGTTCGGAAATGGACATCGAAGTGTTTGCTTGTGTGTTTCAAACAAAAACAAAATCACGCGATCAAATGTACAACTTTATGGCGCTTCATGTATCTCGAGGCGCCCAGCTGATGCCCGCTCAACGCACGTTTGACGACTCTTGACCCGGAGCGCTTGCATGTGTAAACTTCAGTAGAACTCCTGGTTCTTCCAATGTGAACTTAGCCTTATTTGTGTACTATTTTAATTACTTGTTTAAAATATTTTCTTATATTATCTACAACTTACAAGTAATTTGAGTTTTACTCTGATAATGAGTGAATCACCCTGTAAATATTTAAGTAATGTACCTGCATATAAACCACCCATTGGTGTTCTCACTCCAGAATTGTGATACACAGCACTTCTGCTAAGAGATCCAGTGCCTGGAAAAGCCTGTACAAAGGAACTACCAATGTTCGCTATACCGATCGCTATCAATTCTTGCGTGGCATCAACTGACTTTCCTTGTGCTGAATTTACAAACAGTAAAAATTTAATTTTAATACTAGCCGACTATTAATTATGTAAATTTTTGGTAACCAAAAAAGTTCTTGTCATTCTTAGGTGTGTATATCATTTACCTCTATCCATTAAAACGGCAATAATTTTTTTGGTTACATAATACTTTTCTGAACAACCAGTTGAATTAGTATAGAGTAAATTTTTTTTTGTTTAATATGAAGATTTATTCTTACAAAATGCTTTGAAAATAGCCACGTCCTCCATCAAAGAAATAAGCGGAAGAACGATAATTCCACTTCCCAAATTCGTACACATATCAATGAAAGTAATTGTAGTATTTTCATCTTTTATGTATCCAAATGGAGGTGGCTGTACATTAGGCATACCTCCTGGTATGTAACCTATTTATTAACAAACAAAAATTAATTAGTTTCTTTTACAATCGATTTATATGATTACATATTTATTGGGTTACCCGTAAAGTTCGTGCCAATATAGAAACAAATCTGTTATAGAAATATTCATTTGGTACGAAGTTTATAGGTAATTCAATATTTCGTGATTTTACCGATCAATTGAAATGGTGCATGTTCGCTAAAAAAATATCCTAATAAACCACAAACTATAACGAGAAGTGCGTTCCTTGAGATACAGGTCAACCATATAATCTTATTTATAACTTTTTGCTTTTTTGTACGAAGTTCTTGATCGTCAGGACCAATTGTAAAGGAAGAGATCATCTAATTTAATAAGAAAATTATTAAAAACAACTAAATAAAATCGTTAATATTTGTGATAGAAAATTGTTCGAAGTTTGTTATTCTTACCCTGAGTATTAACAGAATAACTATGCAGCATATACCAAGTACAGCATCCCATATTGAAGATTGATAAAAGCGCTCAGCAATGCTTCTCCACATTTGTACAAATGTAGATCCCCTGGCAGATATTGCGAGGATATCCTTTATTTGTGACGTAACAATTATCAGTGCTATTGCTGAAGTAAATCCAGAACTAACTGGACCGGATACGAAGTCGATTAAAAATCCTAAAAATGAAAGTAGTTAGTTATTTTTAATAAACTACAACGTAGTATACCGTAATTAAGCAAGAATTACTATTTATTGACATAGTAATATTGGTTTGGGGAATAATTTTCTCTATATGTTTATAAAAAAGTGAAACAAATATTTGGGTTCATATTTTATCGTATTTATTGTGTTAGGAATATTATTATATATAATGTAATAATATTATTATTTATTAATATATAAAGATAATTCTGTTATTATATAAAAAAACATGTTCTCAGAAAAAAATAAATATATTTCATTAATAGTGTAGGGCTTCCAAGAATTAGGAAATGATTGCACACATATTAATTGAAAGTGAATACTAATTTAATGTCTGTCACGTTTACAAGATAAACTACATTTTCTTATTGAAATTTAAATATTTTCAAATTTTTTGTCTATAAAAATATTATCTTCCTATGTTAAATAAATAATAATTGTATTAATATTTTTAATGTCATGCAAACTCATAAATTTGATTGATTTGAAGTTTCATTTTTTTGAAAAATACAACGAAAAATCAATTTATTTTAATATTAATTTTCATATTGACATTTTATATTTAAATAAAAATTAATATTGGATCGATGTTTGAACAACTATAAACTTAAATTAATTTTAAGAATAATATAATTAATATTTATTTTCTCACCGAGTCCGAAAATCCCCATAATTAATTCCACGATACCGACTAGAAAGCATAATAATATTGCATGCTTTTCTGGTGCATCCAAATGAGCAACAGATTGATGAGTTAACAGAGAGAGGATAGCAGTTGGACCAAAGGGTACATCTTTGCAGGAACCAAAGAATATGTAGATGAAACATCCCAAAAAACTGCCATATAATCCGTACTGTAATATTTCGGATTTAAATTAATGATTTTGAAACGTTGACGTAATCTTAATTGATGAACAATCATATAATTTAAGATGTTGGACACAATATTTTTGATTTGATATAAATAAAAAGTAAATATATAAATTAATTGAGAATCAATATCCACGTGTATCTAAATTTTTTAAACATTTATCACGCATGAATTAAAATATAATTTATTAACTATTAATTTATACATTTTGTTCGTTATTTATAAGTATATTGGATGAATGAATAATTATTATAGCGTAATATAAAAAGAAAAAAAAATTAAATTAAAATAAATAAAACATTACAATAAGAAAGATATCTGAGCTAGTAGCAGTTGTTGGGCCACTCGGTTAATATATTCAGCAATAAAATAAAAACCAAAAAATCGAGAGAAATATTTGACACGATTAAAACACGTTTTGCAACTTTTCTTTTATAGACACTACTAAATAGCATGAATTTATAAATAATTTTTATACGATAGAATAGTTTAGTTTACCTCTGTTGGTAGCCCAGCTACATTTGCATACGCAAGTGATTGTGGAATAACAGTCAATCCTACGGTAATACCGGCAATCAGATCTCCAAGTGCATCGTGATTGTTATAACCTGGCAGCCAACTTAAAATT